AAGTTGGTATGTGAGAGGGTTGGCCTTGACCAAATCCAAACATCAGCCAACAGCATGCGCAGAAGATGGTGAGAACAAAACTCCTCCAGTACAATATTATTCCCTTCCCCAATACCATGCCTCCCCCCCCCCCCGTTCTTATGGCAGCCGACAGTAAGCAAGAGTAGCAAAGCAGCCATAAGCAAGTAACCAAAACAAAGGCTGACAGTGCCACTGGGCACAGTTTCCTAACCCTAAACCTGTCCCTCTCATTCTGATAAACACACCTTCTCCAGCAAAGATAGTCACTGGCCTGACTTACTATGGACTCTTAATCCTCACTTGATTCATCTTCCATGCAGAAAGCCATTGCTGAGGTTAAGAAGAAGGTGTTTGATTTAGATTTACAAAAAGCAGATTTAAACTGTATATCACCATTTGGCAGTATATCTTATACCTTCTCTTAAATATTTTTGTAGAAGTGTTCCTGGTCTTTATAGAAGGGCCTTCACATCAAAAAGGCATTTTATCCTATTCTCAATGGTCACGGAAGGGAATTTTAATTATATCCCTTACCAGGGGTTTGTATACATGTGTGCTTAGAAATAGACAGTTGCACATGTTTTACTGAGTTATCTTTTATACCATGCCTGGTGTGCAGAGCTGAATTTCTTTCTATATTAGCAAATGGTTGGGATGATCCTAATCAAGACATTAAGGTCGTTGTTGTTTTTTAATTGAAGAATTTGTAGGAAGTTAAAACCCATCCCTCTCCTAGAAAAATGAAATATCCTGGGAAATATTAAAAAGGCAGAATATTATATTTCCCTGGGTGTGAAACAGGAGAAGCATGTTTTTAAAGACAAAGCAGCTCCTTGGAGCTTACTGCCCTCCCCCACCTTTCTCAACGAGCCATTAAAGCCTGAGCTAGTCTACACTACATAACAAAAGTAGTATTAGCTTTCTACAGAAACTCACCACAAGGCACCTAGGAAAATTACATCAGCCAGCAAGGCAACCAAACTTTGACTCAAAGCACAGCCTACAGATACCCATGCATGGCCCTATGGGAGTCTGACAACCAATCAGACTACAAGATCAATATCAAAGACCAGAAAGATACTGTCTGAAACGGTATAGGATTTCCTGCCTAGGCAGGAGGTTTGACTAGAAGACCTCCAAGGTCCCTTCCAACTCTGCTATTGTATAAGGCATAAAACCAGGAACTTTCAGCATCTCAGCCTCTTTTCTTCTTCACCCAACATTTGAAGCATGTGATTCCTTTTTCTGTTCAGAAGCTCAAGCCATGTGACCCTGTACACCATTAAACCATCTTTACAAGCAGCCTCCATGTTTCTAGTGTCTTTTCCCCACTTGGAACTGAATCCAGAAGGACATTTCTTCCAACAAATTCAACTAGCGAAATTTCTGGGAAAAGTTTAACAAAATTGTGCTATCTCATTTGCTAAGAGAAAGCATTGAGTCTAAGCAATGCACAGACAAAAATGAAATCTGGTGGTTTAACTTTGCCTTTTATGATATTTGTCCATGTTAAATTGATTTCAGGTACACCGTTGTAATTTTTATCTAAAGATAAATCTATGACTGCAAACAACCAACCACCTACTCCCACACAGAAGCTGTTTGGAAAGTAAAATATTCTTTTTTAAAACAAACAATCAGCTTATTAAACAACCAACCACCTACTCTCACACAGAAGGTGTTTGGAAAGTAAAATATTCTTTTTTAAAACAAACAATCAGCTTATTACGGAAAGTCTATTTTAATGATGACTGAAGTATTGGAGAGTTTACTTATGTAGCTACTTATGTAGCTTTCTCCTTTAGGTTTCAACTTTGATTTTTTGTTTTAATGACATAAAACCCTGGTTGGAATTTCTGCTTCTGTATATTTTGGATCTTAGACCAAGAGCCTACTGTCAGCATTGTAAATCTATTCATGTGTGTGGTTTTCCTTAAGTGAGGGGAAAGACACATGATCCATCGAATGCTCTTTAATCTCATTTAAGAACCCAACACTGCTGATCAAAGTATGTTTATTCAGGAAGAAGGATTACAGTTTGCCAACTGTCATTTCATTTTATGATGTGTTTGTAATTTACTTGTTCTTTGTTCCTTAATAGAAGGTACTTCAACACTTTTATTTGTTGAGCTATAAATAGATCTTAGCCTATGGTTCCATTTCCTAGGCAATGATCAAGTATATTTACATATAAAAGTAACGAGATTTCAAGTTGCCAATTGTTTACAATGTGCACTGATAAAAGGAACACACACTATTGCAATTGTATACTATATGTGTTGCACAAATCAGACTAGGAATGTGGTAAAACTCCTGACATGTTTTCAGAGAAATGGGACCAATACATTGATATATATTTTTGACACCTACTTGAATGTGGTAAAAGAATCCAGTGTTAATTCTAATTGTTGATGCAGAACCTAAAAACCACAAGTGTTTAAAATTTCAAATTATAACATGATGATTTTGCTACTATTCTGTTGAGTAGATATAGAATTATTTATAGAGTTGAAATCACACTCTACTTTGTAATTAAATCTGAATCTATTTTATTTAACCAGATAAATACTTCATATACAGTATGTTTAACTGCATACAATATGTATTTAATCCTGTGCATCCAGGTAGAAGCAGTGATGATTTTGAAAAGGTAAAGTTAATTTTAAAATAAGAAACGCCCTGGGAATTCCAGGTCTATACATTAAAATTCTACACTGTTATCAAGAAAACTACATAGATGTACTATCTATGAAATCACCAGGAGTTTATTTTTTTTAATTCATATTTCACACAAGTAAAGCATTGGATTGCATCACGAGTAGCACAAAAAATGGCACATTTCTGAATCTCATCGTTCTGACAGTATAATTCAGAATACTTTTAAAGAAAAGCCACTAGAAGATGTAAAAAATATGACTGATCATCAAAATTGTTTTATTAATGAGCTATTGTTTATTTAATATATTAGCATACTGAGAGTATAATTCACATAAGAGATTTCTGTTATTAACACACTTTAGCATAGCCTTAAATATCTATCAGTCAGCCAGCCAGCCTGTTGTAGTTTTTATTAATATTGTGTTACATTTGCTTTAGAAAAGAAGATTCTGACTATCACATAATATTCAGCTTTAAGTAGTGCTCTTGTAAATTAATTATCATTAATGTAAATGACTTAGGATGGCCAGCCTAATTAGCTTGCTAATACGTTCATACTTAATAACTGGTGTGAACATTATTCATCTATGAGACATATTTAATATTTATAACTATAGTAATTTCCCAGTAATTATATCCATACATCAAGAATTCAAGCGTGTAATGTCCATTGTCTGAACTGCCAATGCAAGAATTAAAATTAAGCCTTTTCTATTGGATTTTCTCCTTGATGATCCTCACTCACTTCTTTGTCTTGGTGGATTAGTTCTACTGCTTGTTCTTGCTTATCTGTCAGATGTTCAACTTTCAGTTTGTTATCTTTCAGTCTTTTTTTATACATTTTCTTATGTTGTCCCTGTGTGATGATAAGTGGTAAAATGAGTAGTGGATAAATGAGTAGTTTAAAATAGCTTTATTTTCTTAAAACAAAAAGATGGATTTTCAAGTATCTTTGCAAATTTTTCAAAAGTTAACTATTCAATTATTTTAATTCGATTACCTTGCTTATTTTAATACAAATTCTATTACAACTATAACAGCTGCAAGATTTGACAATATTGGTCCTTTTCTGGTTGCTTTTCTGGTTGTTGAGACCTTGTCCCAATGCTGTTTAATTTATTTTAATTGAACTACAATTCAAACGAATGTGTTGGTATTTACAGATTTGGGAATTACTTACATTCTCTCTGCTTTCTTGCAAAGGTTTCAGACCCTTGACTCAGGAATGTTTGCTTTAGAAATGGTTTGAGATTTTGGATTAATGTAAAGCAGAGAAAGCATTGCAACTTCACATTTATTCCCTTCAAGATATTTGTTGCATGAAGATAAAAGTCTTAAAATCCTTTTGAAGGAAAGTGCCTTCCCATGCTTCTAACATCTAAGAATTGCTTTTGTTGATCTTTAAAGCAGACCAGGATTTTAGGTATTACTTGGATACATAAAATCTGACCTTAGAGGGATGGGAAAAGTAAGTGGATTGCATAATTTCAGTGCTAGTGATATGTTATTTTGGACAGAAAGAAAAAAAGACAAATAATATTTTATATAAAAACATTGATTAATTTTCTATTTACAAAACTTGGAACTCCCATACTCTTAAGCTTAGTGAAATGTATGCATGTGCAAATTTTTATGTATAGAGCTTCATATGATCAGTCAGTGGATTCATTCCAAATCTTGACACCATGCCCATCAGTTTGAACTGATTTGAAATGTTCCCTTAATGAGAGTCTCAAAAGGATCAATCATTACTTTTGAATTACAAAAAATAATACTGTGAAGCAACAATTATTTTCATATGCATATAATGCAAAATATGGCCAATACAAGGATTGTTTGTTCATTGGTCCTATGTAACTGAAATGTCTTCCCTTTTTCCCCTCATTGGTACTTTAGTTCTTTTCTCCTATGGGTGTTTTTTCCCCTGCTTTAAAAATCATCCACTCCATCCTCTCCTCTAGCAGGAATGTCTGCCTCATTTTCATTCATATTCGCCATATGAAAGTAATCATCTGATAGGTAACTGCCACAGTTTTCTTCTTATTAAAATAAAATAAGAGGTAGTTAAAATATTCACTTTCACAGTAGGTGGATCAATGCTGCAGGCAGGAAAAATTAATTCGGGACTCATTATTCAGAGTTTAAGGGTCTCCACAAGAAATCCATTCCAAATCCAAATCCATTTCTGGTTGTATCCTTGTATATTGAATTCTCTTAGCTAAGTTTTTCACGAAACCATTACATTGGTAAAGGTAAAGGTTCCCCTCGCACATATATGCTAGTCGTTCCTGACTCTAGGGGGCGGTGCTCATCTTCATTTCAAATCTGGAGAGCCAGTGCTGTCTGAAGCCGTCTCTGTGGTCATGTGGCCGGCATGACCAAACGCCGAAGGCGCACAGAACATTGTTACCTTCCCACTTAAGATGGTCTCTATTTTTTCTACTTGCATTTTTACATGGTTTTGAACTGCAGAAGCTGGGACAAGTAATGGGAGCTCACTCAGTTATATGGTGTTAAGGATTTAAATTGCTGAACTGCTGACCTTTCTGATCAACAAGCTCAGCGTCTTAGCCACTGAGCCACCGTATCCCTTAAATTGATATTACATTGATATTTAATAGTAATTAAATAAACCAAAATAGAGTCACAGATTAAATTCATTTAATCTTCATGTTAGCAGCTTTTTATATCCCGTTTATTCATACTTTATGTTTCCTAGCATCTTTTAAATCCATCTCTTATAAACAAAGTGAGTTGCATTACAATCCACTGAACTACCTGAACTATCATGGGTTTAGCAAATGCTATTCAAGTTATTGAAGCAACTATGGAATTTTCCAGGTTTTCATTAACACAAGTTTCTTCTGCCCTAAAAACTGCAAGAGGTACAGCTTAGCAACAGAAGACCTAGAGATACACAGAGACCAGCAGAAATGTGTGGTATGTATATAATTAGCAGCAGTAATTACCTTTTGAATCTGCAACTCACAAGGGCTTTGAGGATATCTTGTAATACTGCTCATGTAGTTTTTAGTCTTTTGCCAATCTTCGCTCCATTTCTGGATACTGTACCGAGATTTACACTTTGCAATTCTTTCCAGAATGGCACAATTTTCATGGTTTATTTTGAATAATTCTTGCTCTCGTTTTTCTCTGTTTAAACTAAAAGCAGAGGGAGGAGGGAGAGCTCTGTGTAATAAATTAATCATAGCAATAGCAGTAGACTTATATACCGCTTCATAGGCCTCTCTAAGCGGTTTACAGAGAGTCAGCATATTGCCCCCAACAATCTGGGTCCTCATTTTACCCACCTCGGAAGGATGGAAGGCTGAGTCAACCCTGAGCCGGTGAGATTTGAACCGCTGACCTGCTGATCTAGCAGTAGCCTGCAGTGCTGCATTTAACCACTGCGCCACCTTGGCTCATTCAAGCATCAAAAGTGAAATGCATTCTGTCCTATCTTCAGAAAGGCAAATGAAAATAAATTCTTCTTACTGCTCTACACTGAGCACCTTCAATTAACTTAAACTGAATTCACAGCTCTCTTTTGTTACTGTCACATTGCTGTAGCTCGCACTACTGTTTATCTTTCACAATGGCTCTGGATGATGGAAGTTCTAATACTGCAAATTAGCAAGGACTGAAAAGCGCCCCCCCCCCCGAGATTTAAATATTAAAACTTTTATCTTGTGCTATTGAACTGAACTGCTTAGAAGGAACCTTCCCAGGTTTTAATACAATGAACTTTAACTGATATAGTTATGTGTATTGTATGACAGTGTCTCCTTAATTAGGCTGGTAGTTATCACCAAAATAGATCTTATTTTTATTATTTATACTTTTTCAAAAACGTAAGTGTGCATAGCTAGAAGATCAAAATGCATATACATGCATACAGTACATAAAGGTAAATGTTTCTCCTGTCCAGTAGTGTCTGATTCTACAGGGTGGTGCTCATTTCCGTTTCTTAACCAAGCAAGTCAGCATTATTTGAAGAGACGTCTATGCTCATGTGGCTAGTGTGACTATATATTGGGGGACAAGGAAAGCTGTTGCCTTATAAGTGATACCTATTTAACTATTCTCATTTGCATTATTTTGAAATGCTAAGTAGACAGGAGCTGGAGAAGTAACAGGAGCTCAGCCTGCCACACAGACTCAAGTCTTGCACCCCTGGGCTGTCAGCTTTTCAGTGATAAGATCAGTATCTTTAACTGCTGAGCTATTGCACTCCTATATAGTCCATAGCAACCAGTTTTAACATTAGAATGTATTTTTTCATTTTTTCTGGTTTAGCTCCCTAATATCCCTAAACTGTAATTATAGTATTGTTAAACTTGCAGTAATGTCTCAATAGCATAGGGGTTATAATATAGTACACAGGAAGTTAGCAGTTTGAAACTTAGTAGAAATATTTTAGTTTTTTCTCCTGGAACCATCATGTGTTTTGTTTTTGTTTTTTTGGGCTGGACTTTTTTTATTAGTCCAATAAAAGCTGGAGTTCTCTTTTTTCCCCCTGGCACCAAATAAATGGAGTAATAAGTTCTCTGCTATGAACTGCAAGCAATCAGAGCCATTCATGAATAGCTTAACTCAGCAACTTCATTGATTTCTACTTATATTACAAGAATCACCCAGATTCTTTGCCTTCCCCATGAACAAGTAGATAAGGTTTTATGGATCTGGGCAAGGGAAGGAGAGGGGAAGCAGGCTTATGCTTCTTGTAGCTGCACAGGGACTCAAGGCTAATTCCCCACTTGTAACCTTCTCCTCCTCCCAGCAGTCTGGTTGGCAGTTTCCCAACATCTGCAATATTTATTAAGTTATTTGGAAGCTGGGATGAAACCTTCAGCAAAAATGATGAAATGATGCAAGTTATAGCTCAGATAAATGGTCCTCTACAACTCAAGTAAATGTTACATCCACTAACCCAATTCTCACCCCACACCATTTTAACAATTTATGTAGCAGAAATTAGGAAATCAAATCTGGGAAAATGTTTTAGATCTCATTCCTATTTGATCTCTTAACTTTGTAAGCCACATAACATTTTTTTTGAAAGTATACATGTCTAGTAACCATGAACTACGGAGACAACAGCCGGAAGGCAGAAGGGCCCCAAGTAGAATAATATTGCAGTTATTACAGCTATATAATTGTTCATCATTTTTACTCTGAACCTTACCTTTTGGTTACATATTCATTTTTATTATCTACTCTTCCTTCAGTCTTCATGATGTAAGATATCTTCTTTAGTAACAAATGGTTATCTCGTTCTATTGTAGACAAGTGGTCCGTATCAAGCTTCAGGCATTAAAAAAAGAATATTTTAATACATTATGTTTATATCCAATTAATATTTTCCTCTCCCCCCATCCCCATTAACACTACCTATACAATGGCACTGAAAAAAGTGACTTATGACCATTTTTCACACTTATGGCCATTGCAGCATCCCCTGATCACATGATTTGCATTCAGATCAGTGGTGGGTTTAAAATTTTTTTAGAACCTCTTCTGTAGGTGTGGCCTGCTTTGTGGCAGTGGCTTGCTGGCCATGTGACCGGGTAGAAGTGGCTTGCCGGCCATATGACCGGGTGGGAGTGGCTTGCCAGCCATGTGACTGTGTGGGCGTGGCCAACTTGTAAACTGTGGTGAAACTCACTTAACAATGCTCTTGCTTAGCAACCAAAATGTTGGTTCAGAAACTCTGGCATTTGAAGCACGTAAGTCTTAAAGTTGTCAAGTTACAAGACCCTTGCACCCCTAACCCTTTAGAAAAAACCCCAGGGGTGTTTAAACTTGACAGCTTTAAGTCTTATGGACTTCAACTCCCAGAATTCCTCCTCTCGCTCTTCATCTTGATGATGTGCGGACAGGCAGGGGGAGGGAGCTGGAACCGGTTCTAAACGGCACTGTAGATTTGTGAAACCTCTTCTATAGAAGAGGTTAGAACTGGCAGGAACCCACCCCTGATTCAGATGCTTGACAATTGTCTCACATTTATGACGGTTGCAGTGTCCCGGAGTCATGTGATCCCCTTTTGCGAACTTCTGACAAGTAAAGTGAATGAGGAAACCAGATTCGCTTAACAACCATGTTACTAACTTAGCAACTGCAGTGAATCACTTAATAAATGTGGTGCGGAAAGTCA